ATGGAGAAGGAGCAGGCTCAGGCTGCTTTCCTGTGACTTTCCCTGGAAACTCTTAAGACCCTGGGATTGCTTCAAAAATACAAGAACTTTGTCCTGGTCCAGACTCCAAGACAAATAACAATATGGCAAATCACAGCTTTAATGAACAGAGACTGAAAAACATAAAAATCTAAGCTAGCTTCAAGACAGCAATGTTTCCCAATTGGGATGTGCCTTCACAAGACTGAGGATAACTCTTTGTGCATCTACAAATACTGTGTATCATTTCACTTTCCTTACTGTACATGATCAGCTTCTTAAATATAAAGAAAATTTTTCAACCATTTAAAGAATAAAGGTGAGACCAGCAGATGATGTAATGGTTACGTTGCTGGGCTTCCTCTTAAACCATGGTTTGAGTCCCAGACCCGGCAGTTTAAATTCACACCAGGTGCATGTGCATGTATGTTCAAAATCCCAAGAGCAGAATGGAGAAGGAACTGCAGCATGGCCACCCCTCTGGGAGGGTGATTTCTCATTTTCTGTCTCCCTGTCTCTGTCTCTCTGGCGAGCACATGTGCCCTATAGCAAAATTATAAAAAAGAAAGAAAGGAAGGAAGGAAGGAAGGAAGGAAGGAAGGAAGGAAATAGGTTTTGGCCTTAGTATAGAACAAAATATCTGCAATACCTATATCCAAACGACTTGTTTGAATTACATAAACAAAACCTACAAAACAATAATAAGAAGATAGGCCACCCAAATGGGATTATCAAAATGGCCAATAAGCATATAAAAGTCATTAACGACAGGTTGAGAAATAGGAGGACATCATCTATCTATCTATCTATTTAATTATTTATATTTATGAAACAAGAAATAGAAAATTACTTGTTGAAGATAAGAAGTATGATGAAGCCACTATACAGTGTATTCTGGATGAGAAATTGCATTTTATATGCTGTGACGATGCCCAATGAATGAATGTAGAATAAATTAATTCTTTAAAAAGTCATTAAACCACTATGTAAATTCAGATTAAAACTACAATGAGATGAAATTGTGTACTGATCAAAATGTTTAAAATTCTTAAATGTGACATCAAGTCTTTTTTTTTTTTTTTTAAGGTTTTTTGCCATAGGGTGCTTGGGTTTGCCAGAGACAGAGAAAACCAGTGAGAGGGAAAGTGAGAAATAACCCCCCAGGGGGGATGGTCACACTAAAATCCCTTCTCCTCCACTCTCCTAGGATTTTGGCCACCCATGCATATGTACTCGGCATGAGTTTCAAGTCGACAGGGCCAAGCTTCAAACTGCAGCCAGCCATATGGACGTCCAGCACCTTAACCATTCGGCCACCTGCTATTCTCAGCACCAAGTTTTATGTGGTGGAACAATTCAGCTCAACTACATTGCTGGTAGGGGTATAACCTGGAAAACTGATGTTCCCTAATAAAGTAGAACAGAACACATTCTGTGACCCCACAAATCCACTCCTAGGTAAATGCCTTCTAGGGAAGCACGTAAAGAGGTTCCAAAGACACAAGAATATTCAAGGAAATGTTGGTTGTAACAGCTGAAACCCAGTAATAAACTGTGGATTGTTCATATGATAGAATGCTCTATGGCAGAAATCGGTACATATTCTTCTGTAAAGGCCCCAACAGCAGAGATCTTGGGCTATACAGGCTGTGAGGTCTCTGTCCCGTCATATTTATTTCAAGCTGGCCTTTAGAGTATACAAGCAGCCATGAATAAGGGTTTGGCTATGTTCCAATAAACTTCATTTACACAAATAGCTGCTCTACAGGCTGCAGTTTACCTTCCATACAGCAATAAATATAAACGAACCATAACTAATACAACACTGATGACTCTCACATACATCAAGCTGAACCCAGGAAGTGAGACATATAATATAGTGTATGATTTCATTGTACAAAGTCTCAAAATAGGTAAAATGATACAAGCAGGACAGTAGCTACCTCTGTGTGTCGTGTGTATGTGTGTGCTGGGGACTGGCGTAGGATGAGACTGGGAGAGGAGAGAAGGTAGAATTTTGGTAGGCTAGTAATACTAGACTCCCTGATTTGAGGGGTAGTTGCATAGCTATGTTCAATTTGGGAAAATTCATCAAGGTGGTTACTTATTGTGCACGTGCCTACATTTTGGATTTTAAAAAAGTAATACACTTTAGTAAATTTTATAAATACAGGATCTGGGTCACATTTGTAAGTGGATACTTTTTCATAGCTCGCTACTCCTGGACATCAAACACGGATGCAATGGCAAGCTCTGTGCCCTATAAAGCAGGTCCCCAAACCCCTCCCATCACTTCCAGTGTGGTACCTGCACTGCAGCTATCTAAGTTTCATCTAGGACTTGGAAAATGAGCTATAATTAGAACACAAAGAAGTGGCAGGAGGTGAATGCAAAACAGAAGGAGAAAGGAAAGTAACAGATGGGGGAATGAGGAGACTGCTAGGAAAAAGGCCTTGCATTGTAGTATAATCTGCTGAATAATCTATATAGAATAGAAAGTAAAATAAGCAGCTTAGCAACACAATTGAGAGGTTACTGAGCTTGCCTTTTGGACAAAAATTATGACAGTCTTAGAGGTTTACTAAAGCTCTTAAAAGACTGTTGAAGGGATTTAGTTCCAGTACAATAATTTCTTCCAATCTAACAGATTAAATGGGCAGGAAATTTCAGTTCTTCAAGTGAAAGAGCAAACATGACAGATAATACAGTCTTGACTTTCCAGGACTGTATATTTTCAACAATTTCTATACCCTAATTTCATCTTCTCACTAAATACAGCAAACCAAATTTTACTGTCTTTAAAATTTAATTATATTTAATTTAGTTGTAACAACTTCCTAGGGATCACATGAAGTCATTAAATTAGTTAACCAGGGTGGTGTCCAAATACATTAGAAGAGACAGAGACTACACAAAAACCAGGAAAAACATGATCACAGGCAACACATTATAACACTTATATTCTATAAGCACAGGCTTACATCAAATGGAGTGGAATGAAAGAGAAGTGAAGAAAAATAAGTGAAAAGAACTGGAATCTATTCACTATACTGCATAAATGGCATGTACAATAAACTGAGCTAGATGCTAGAAATGCAAAAATCAATTCCCTCTCTTATGGAACTCACTAGATAGAGACACTGGCAAGCCTATATCAATACTTTAAATTAAATGTCATAAAAGTTGTGAATCCTGCACGAGTGCTATGGGACTACAAATTAAGAGAACGTTAGTCAGCGTAGCAAAACACAAGTGGGACAAAGACCCACGGACATAAGAATGCAAATGGGTTCTGAATGGTAATGAATGGCAGAGTAAAAAGGAAAATAGAAATAGATCATTTTAGGCAGCAAGAGAAAATGCAAAAGCATGAGGCATGAATGAGTCCGTCACATTAGGACAAGAAATCTGAGGTACCTAGCACATGATAGACAAGCACAAACTAAAAGTGAGATGATGGAGGGACTTGTCAACCACACTGAAGTTTCAATTTTATCTTCCAAGCTTTATGGATCCACTGGGTTGCAAATTAGAGGAATGAGAATGGATATAAGGGAGAGAAGCATGTCTCCAAATTTATCTTTTTGTATACTTTTAACATTTAGAATCATAGTTAATATTTCACAAAATAAAAACATGAATAATGAAAAATCAACCCACACATGGGGTGAAACCAAAATGAGACACAAACGGTAACAAATGAATTGTTATGACAAATATATAACATAACCATGTGGAAAGGAATGCAGACAAAAGTGAGAATGAACCACTTTGGAAACTGTTATCTTGAATAGATA